TTTCTTAAGCAGATGGTCCAAGTCACAGCCGAGACAACATCAGGTTCCACCATGTGGGAACTGTGATTTGTGGGATTCCAAGCAAAAAAGAATCTTAAGATTTTGTAAAGAAAAGAAGGAAAGGTGAGATTAATAGGAAAAGAAATGGGAAGACAGCTCAGAAAGCACAGATATATGTTGGGACTTTCAGGAATCATTTGAAGAAAAGATGTAAAATATACAGCTTTTCACCCCACTTAAGACAGGTAAACGAATTGATTTCATACGTATTTATACTAGTTTCTATTTTACTCTAATCCGAAACAATGCTGAGGGAAAAGTCCAAAGCTCCCTCAAAACAGCGGCGCACATGGCTCTCCAGAGGTGGAAAGTCATTCTTACGCAATCATGATAGGGAACGCATGCTTGTCATCATTTATCAGAGCAGAGGAATCTTTGAGGAAGTTTCGCAATTGGGAGTAGAAATATGAACAGATGTGTGAAGGCCCCAATGTGTTATTTAAATTATTTTCAGCTGACAAATAATAATTACTTATATTTATGATGTCTAGCATGATGTCTTGATATATGTACACACCGCAGAATGATTACACGAAGCAAGTTAGCACATCCGTCACCTCACATACTTACTTACTCTTGTGATAAGAGCATTTGAAACCCACCGTCTCAGTATTCTTCAAATATACAATATATTGTTATTAATTGTAGTCACCATGCTGTGTGATAAATCTCCCGAACTTATAGCTATCTAGCTGAAATTGTATTTCCTTCCATCAGCATCTGTCCCACCCCTTGCCACTACCCCCAGCTCTTGGTAACCAGCATTCTACTCTCTGCTTCTGTGATTTCGACTTTTTAAGTTTCCACATATCGGTTAGATCATGTAGTACTTGTCTTCCTGTCTCTGGCTTGTTTCACTTGGCATCATGTCCTCCAGATTTATCCAGGTTGTCACAAATGATGGGATTTCCTGTTTTGTTTTTTTTAAGCTGAATGCTGTTTCATTGTGTCTATACCACCTTTTCTTTATCCATCCACTCAGTGATGGACATTTAGGTTGCTTCCACATGTTGGCTACTGTGAAGTGTTGGCAATGAACACAGGCATGTAGCTATCTCTTTGACCTACTGATTTCATTTCCTTTAGGTATACGAAATTCTGTGCATGTATCTTCTAGTGAGCAGGTTCTGTTTGGCACATTATCAACGGGTTCAAGGACATAAAAATTGGGGGATGACCCCCTTAATAACACTGGCACTACTAATTCATTCTCCATTCATGGGAAAGCTGCAAAAAAAAAAGGCAGGACAAAAGATGTTTCATAAGAATGCCTTTTATTTTTTAACACTCAGGACTGTAAGGTAGGAATTGTTTTCTCCATTTAATAAATGAGGAACCCAACCTTTCTTATGGGCAAGTAACCTCTACACGGTGATGAAGCAAGTGATTTCCAGAGCCACGGTGCAAAATCATGCCCAACCTCCTCCTCAGAGCCGGACTAGAAAGCTGCTTTTGTCTTTACTCAAGGGCTCCAGGGGAAATGTTAAACGGATCTCAGTTGCATCCATTGATTTATTTTAAACATTTCCATCCATTGGAAATGTTTCCTAACAATATGCTCCTCTTTTCGACTGGTATGTGAGTCCCTCCCAGTCCAAAGGACTGTCCACGTTTCATTTCAGTGTTCCTGGTAAGTCTAGCACAGTCCTGGGAGAGTGCTCGGAGAAAAATCACTGTTTTTCAACCAATGGATCTGAGTGTGATCCCAGCTCCTCCTCTGAACCCTCAATATGACATTGGACAAGCCCCACACTCCCCAGTTATTGTCCGTAAACGGAAATGATTGTAGCACCTGTCTGCCTGCTTCCTAGGGTTTGAGAAGGAATAACTGAATTAGCTAAAGTTAGAACTTTATAAACTCTAAAGCAGTGCATGTTTGTTTACTCTAGTGGGTACTTGACAAAGAATTACGAAATTGATCCATCAATTAATCAGTGAAACTCTGAGTTTGTGTCTATAAAACATGACTAAGACATTTTGAAAAATATTTTAAATTGTATGTTTTTATTTCCAGCCAGGTAAAATATAGGCCCAAAACAAAAGCATCGATGTATACTTCTGTCAAGTCACATGAATATAATATAAAATAATGTATTTTATATTATATTATTTTGTCAAAATATTATAATATATTTGACAAAATAATATAATACAAAATTTGTCAAAAAATTGAGCAAATTTGACTTATGAATGAACACACAAAGGGGACATTTTAGAAAAGATTCTTAAATTATCCAGCCCAAGCAACATAGTGAAACTCCATGTTGGAACAAATTTAGAAAATTAGCCCACACTCAGGAAGCTGCAATGTGAGGATCGCTGGGGTCCAGGTCGAGGCTGCAGTGAGCAAAGTTGGTGCCACTGCACTTCAGCCTGGGTGACACAGCAAGAACGTGTCTCAAAAATTAATTAGCTAATTAAAGGTAAAATAAACTACAATGCTGACCCCTATTTTATTTATTTTGATCAAAATAAGAGCTGTCAACCCAATATTTTAATAAGTGAACTCTTCAAGATCTTCCCTGACAAATAATATTACTATTCGCTTCTAAGCAATTTCCTTTTACCCATAAGTTGTAGTCTATGCTCTTATCGCCACATTTCAGAAGTTAATGAACCTTAGCAGACACCATTATTAAGACACAGTTCATGTTCCATCTTTCTAAGGAAGGTGTGAGAAAGGAGCCATCTGGGCACTCTTAGTGGAAACCTTGGCCATCTGCAACAGCTGCCTGGGGAGAGCAAGTTCAGTGAGCTGGGAGGTTCCAGTTTTGCTCTACCTGTTTCAAGTTATCTAGTGAGCTGCACGTGCTTCTGCTCACAAATTTCAGCAATCCCATTTTGGCTCCCAGACTTCCTATAGAAGGGGTTATAATGATGTTATAGGATTTAATGGTCTGACAAAACTTCATTCCCACAGCTACAAATCTTAGACAATCATCTGTTTCAATGTAATGCTAACCTTATGGGTTTCCTGAGTGCAATTTTCATGGCTACCAGAGACTCCCTTAGCTGGTGTCTAGTTACCTGTTTCGAGAAGCATGTTTTTGGCTGTTTTTAATGTAAACATTGCAGATATACCATGCTGACTGATACACATTACATATCTGTACCCTGACCCAAGGAGAAAAAATTGAGAAACTTCTAGACAAATTGGAGAAATATTCATAAGATGAACTTGTTGTAAAGCAATAACTACACTATACATTTCTAAGAAAACATATTTTCAAATGAAATGTTTACATTATGGGGTGTTTTTTCTTACTCACTGGAGAAGAAACTATCATTTTTGGAGAAAAGTATGTTCCACTTATCTATTTTGGAAAATCTCAATTATGTTAATTGCTCAGTCTAAAAACATCATGTTTGCATGTGTTTGTGCACATAAGTATGTGTGTTTTTTAAGGAATAATGTTATGTTTTGCAGAAAGCAAGGCAGAGAAGAATGATAATTCTCAGCAATTAATCCCTGCAAACATTATGGGTCGACATTTTCATTGCACTGTATTCATGATTCCTGGAACTATCAAACTGCAAAGTATTCACATTTTATTTATTTGAAGAAGCCTAATCAGAGGAGTCCAGAGTCCCTTAAGTGACCCCACAGAGACTCTCTCCTGGTACCTGATTGATTTTGCTAACAGTGAAGAAATAGCTGTCTCTTGGCTTAATACCCAGTGAGTCTTACTGACCACCTCCAGCCAGAGACTGGAGGGCAGGGGACTCAGAGAACACACTGGTAGAGATCAGCCTGGTAGGGAGCACAGGAGGGCAGAAAGGGGTGAAAAGGAGATCCCCAGGGCCAGCGGGGAACATGGGGCACACACTGAATGTTCCTATAGCCACAGGATGGCAAGAATTAGACAGTTCTTTGTAGTTCTCATTCAGAATTCTCAATCTCATCAAAAAGGATCAAGACCTAGATGAGGAAAGTGACCCCCCGCCCCAGGACTCCAGAGAGGAGGCTGTGGGTCATCGGCAAGGGCTCCTGGTACACCACTCCTCTAGTCTGCTAGGTGGACTTGTCAGCTTCTCTTAGGGCAGGGATGATAGTCTGGCTGTGGAAGAGAACAGTGACGTGTCCCCCACTTGGAGCTGCCCCTGAATTCTAGCCTGAGGAATCTTGCAAGTTGTCTAATTGGGATAGTCCCAGACCACCCTCTGCATGCCTGAGACAAGTGGTCTTGAGCTGAGAGGCAGAAGGCAAACTGTGCTCCAGAACAAGTCAGCTCTTTTCAGGAAACCACATTCAACATTATTGTAATCCTTTTTGGCTTGGAAATGGAAAAGAAAAATACAATCAGAAAAATGATAATTAGATTTGCAAATGATATTTTTATGAAAAGAGAGCACAAAAATGTCATTTTAAAATTTGTATAAAATGTATCCATTATGCTTTAATGATAACTCAGAGTTAATCCTGAGGAGGCAACAGGAGGAGTCAGAGAAATGCTCCAAATTTTGAACTTTGTACCAAATAAATGGGTGACAAAGTTTCCCAGGAACACGTGTTCTTAGCAGAAGGAAAGGTTACTGGTTTATACAAATTAAACATCCTAAGTAGAATGGCCAGAGGAAGAGTGCACAAAGTGGTCATCTAGCAGCTGGGAGCCCCTACTCTAGGGTCCTCTAGGTTCCTCTGACATCAGCTTTTGGCCTTAACTTCCCCCTGGCTATGTTTGAGACACAATAATCTTGTGGTATAAGAAACCTCCAAGGCTGAATCCCTGCCAGGTGGTTCTGGGCCATGGAGAAAGCACTCCCCTGCTTGGTAGAAATTCCTTCCCCGGCATCCTCGCTGACTTGCCCTCGGGACCTTAGTTTACTTTGCTTTATTCAAAGATGATATCATCCAAAAGGTGGGGAAGGCATTACACATTCTCTCCCCGCTCCATTTGGAAATCCCCTAACAAGCATTACTAAAGCCCAGCCCTGCTTACCTGGTGAAATCTCGTTAATCTCTCGCCCAGGGCACCGCAGTTCCAGTGACTGGTTCACGTGGAGAGTTGCACAAGGAGGTTTCTGTGTAGGCTTCAGCTGCCTTGGTACAGACAGCTCAGCAGGTGATGCCGCCAGGCCACCTCAGTAGAGGCAGGTGCTCCATAGCCTCTGCCCTGCAGGCTTGACACCAACATGTGACAGTATGGGAGTAGCAGGCACCTCACCCTCCACAGCGCGTGGCTAGAACAGTCATCCGGCCCACACAGCACTTTCTGTTCCACAACCAGCCCGAACTGCCTTTGCAATGCATTAGAAAAGCCACCAGCTGCTATCTGCTGCAACACAGTTGTCAGAATCACGGAAATCTACAAGGTCTGTTTGTGAAGAGAGCCCCAGGATTTGATGTCCTGAGTGATGGGTAGACCAGGGAACATGACACCCCTTCACAGTTGTGAGACCTCAGTGTCAGGAGCACCAAATGATGTGTCTCACGTTGCACTACCTGAAATGAGTTAGCTTTAGTTCCATGGGCTAAAAATGGAAGTGAGAAAGGAAAAACCAAGACTTAACACTACAGCCAGCTGATAATGGCCAAACATTTAGAGGAAATGACAATGTTTCAAGAGAAGAGCCATCTAAAATGTACTAAGAACAAGCCACCCTTGCTTATGATAACGTGGCTAATAAAAGTGTGAATTGGCAAAAGGAAAAGATGTTTGTAGCTACATCTCTCGTGTGACACATACCTATTGGGTGCAGTTGCATCCGGGAGTACTGGAAAGAGACAGAATTAGTCTTCCACAGATCAGTGTTAGGAGGGTCATCAATAAAATGTCTCTCACCCAAGATTGTCAGGGATTAAAGTCACAATGCGTAGCATCATTAATTGTCAGAAAAAACACAAACGCCACCATACACCTTACAGAGTGGCTAATATTCAGAGCACTTACTACTCTAAATGTTGGTGAAAATCTGGTGGGAGCATAAAAGAGTACACCTCTTCTGCACAAGATTGGCCATGTTTAGTAAAGTTCAGCATATAATTACCATGTGACCTAGCAATTTGATTCTTGACTATTTGCACAAGTAAAATGAAGAAGATGTCTTCAGAAAAATCTTCAAAACAAACTTACTTAAAATAGTAAAAGATGAAAACAAAAGACATACCATGCCTACATGGATTCTTAGAAGGGTTTTTGTTTTTTGTTTTGTTTTGCTAAAGTCTTCACATTTTTCTTCCCCTACCACAGGCAGATACACAAGAACATTTGCTTTTCATTTTAGATTTTCACGAGTTTTAGGGTCACATATATGTAAGCTGAATATGCTTTCTTAGAGCCATTGGAATATGCAAGAAGAGTATGTCTATGGGCATAAAAATGAAAGTATTGGCCAAAATGTCAATGGTAGACCACCATGAAAATTTTCCAGGAAAGTTCAAAACTTATTTTGAATACATACACTCAGGCACACACACATGCCCATATGCACAAACACACACACAATATTTATCTATACTGAGGCTTTATTATTGGGTTCATATATTTAAGTTAAAAACTGAAAACAAACCTAAAATAAGCAAGTGGGTCTATAGTTTGTTGTGTGTCTACACAATTCAATATTACTCAGCAATAAAAAGGAAGTCACTACTAATATACATAAGAATGTGGGTGAGTTTCTAAAACAAGGCTGAGGGAAAGAAGCCATTAAGTCTTTTCTAGATGTATGCATTGGTTGGTCGGCTGGCTGGTTGGCTGGCTGGTTGGCTGGCTGGCTGGTTGGCTGGTGTTGACAGGAAACATGCTGTTCTTGGTCCAAGAGAGACCTGATAACCATGGGGCAATACAAGGAGAGCAGCGGGCATCTATGCATGCGGTTTGGTTTGTGCCACAAGAAGGAACTCCAAATCATAAATCTCACAGCTTATGTAGGTGGCTTGTAACGCTGCCCAGCTCCGCTCTGAAGGAAAGAGAGAAACCTGTCTTTTTTGACATAAACAGATCCTCTCTTGGGTAGGAAGGAGAAGCCTTTAGGTGCATTGCCTTTTGGACTGTAAGCTAATGGCTGCAGAGCAGATGAACCGTGTCTCTGGAATAACTCACTGTCTCTGGCTTCCTAGACATGGTTACCATCAATCATCCTTCAGCCCAGGTGGCCAGGTCCTTTAGCTCAAAAGCCCAGATCATGCAAAAACTTGAAGATATTCATGGAGTGTTGTTTTTTTTTAACAAAACCAGACATAAAAGTCTCTTTTTGTTAGGAAATCTAAAACATCAAAGTGAATGTGTAGTGACAGAATGCAATCAGCATTTTCTGGAGCTGGGACAAGCTGGTTGATGGATGGCAAAGGGGAAATTTCTGAGGTGATGATGGGAATGCTCTATGTCTTCTTTTTGGTTGTCGTTTCACCACTGTAACTTTGTCAAGGCTCACCAAACAGAACACTTAAAAGCAGAGCATTTATAGCCACGCTGGAATCCTCAGTAAAACTGTTGATAAGGGCAGTTTGGACAGATTCATTTGAGCTGTTTACATGGAGACTGGTGGGCAATTTCCAGCCACACTGTCCAACACTCCTACTTCGATATCACTCTTTTCTTTCTTCAGTTTATGGATAAATACTCATGTGCTGCATAACAACATTTTAGTCAATTATGGACCATATTATAGTGGTCCCAGAAGATGATAATACTATATTTTTACTGTACTCTTTATAGCTTTAGATACACAAATGCTTCCTATGGTGTTACAATTACCTAGAGTGTTCAGTACAGTCGCATGCTGTAAAGGTTTGTAGCCTAGGATCTATAGCCCAGGTGAGTAGTAGGCTCTACCACTTAGGTTTGTATAAGTATACTCTGTCATGTTTTCACAATAACAAAATGGCTTAATGACACGCTTCTCAGAATGCATCTCGGTTGTTAAGAGATGCATAACTGTGTAAGACTTGTGTGCTTGGTTTCACGATATGTAAGTCAAATATCACTATATCGAAGGTACCAAAAACTGGAGCCTCTCATTTTCTATTTCTTATACTCTCAAGTCTCACACCCAGCATATCACATGCTCTTCGAAATGACAATAATTATAAGAGAATCTCATGTTTGAACACACCGCCACTCTAGGATGGCTCCCCAATCTCCATTATTTTATCAACAACATAAGAATGAGTCAGGCTTAGGGAGCTAAGGTTCTGCATCATGGTGTTACATAGCTAAGGCTTCACTGAGCTCTCTTCCTTTACATTGGTGTGTAGAATACTCAAAAGTAATACAACTTCTCTATTCCTTTTTTTTTCTTTTGCCATATGATATTAAAATTGATAGGAAAAGTGCAGCTTCTCTAAAATTGCAACATGGAGTTACAGAGGAATGTTTAAGCACATTTTTTTTCTTTCCAATAGCAACTGTTGCTAAAGAATGGAAATTAAGCCATAGCCTTTAGCGAAAAGTCACACAACTGAGCAAAATATTCTTTAAATAAATGTTTTTCTTGCATTATAAAGATGACATGTTGTTGTTTGGGAACATTTAGAAGACACAGAAAAAGTAGAAGGGAAAAATATCAGCCTACACTCACGCTCTTGAAAGTTGGTTTCTACCAAAACGTCCATAATTCTTTTAAATGCCTTTTCTTTACCCCAGTTATTGCTTTGTTTCTCTGCTTTTTAGACTCCTTTATCTCATGAGCCCAGAAAAAGTCACTGCTCATGTATTAGAAATTAACGTGATTTAGAACTGCTGAGTTAGAATCTGATTATCCCATGTTCCATGTGGAAACGGCACATATTATAGATTTAATCCATCTGGATAATTTCCTGTAATTCTTTAGTCTGGAAACAACTTGTTCACCCCAGCCACCTCCCACTGATGTTCATGCCCATCATCACAAGCTTTTCTTCTTAACAGAACGTCCAAGTTGCACCCACCTGTTCACACACATTTGTAGAATTCCTTCTTCTAAAATGGCCCTGTTTTAAGGAATTTAAAATATTCCTTAAAAATCATGAGAATAAATTCCTTCTTCTAAAATAGAAATAGGGAAGAATCAAATGTATACAAATCTTGTCTTTGTGGATTTACAGTAGGGAATGTAAGGCACATGCATAAAAACACTGAGCTGAGGCAGAATGTAATGGTTAACTTATAGAGTTAACAGAAAGAACAATTCTGAAAACACTGTCCATGTGCACTAGAACTGAACAATTAAATAGATGAATGGCAGGTGGTAAGAGCCAGGTTTCTCACTGTTGGAGAGGCAACAAGCAAGAGAGGAGGCTAGAAGGACCCACGTGGTAATGGATGAGACTTAGAAACATCACTGTGAACTCATGTTTGGATTGATATAGAGACAGGCTTGCATAGAAATATGTACACATGCAGGTTGGCATGCATACGTATTTTCTTGCTTGGTCACGTGAGAGTGTCTGCAAGCAACTATACCCCAACCCCAACAAGCACAGACGTCTTGCTCCCAGATCATGGTGTCCAACATCATTCTCTAATGAAAGAAGCCAGGGCTTCTCAGAAAAATCGCTGATTCTAGGACTGGAACAGGAAATATCCAAGATGATCCTGAAGCATCTTACTGTGCCACAAAGTGGGGAAGTGCCAAAAATGAAGCCCAAAACAAACAAATCTGATGGCGGCATGTCAATGGGACACAGAAACCAACTGGAAAAGCTCTCAGTGGCCAAAGCGTTATTTTGTTTTTCAACAGTTTGAAAAACAAAATAAAGTAACATTGGATGATAAGTCGAAATATGAAATAAACATGACTCCATGCTGATAAAAATAAAACATAAAAATAAAAAGCTCTCAGTGGCCAAAGTTTTATTTTGTTTTTCAATGATTTGAAAACATTGGATGATAATTCTAAATATGAAATAAATATTAGTCCATATTGATAAAAATAAAACACTGAATAAATAAATAAATGGGGGAGAAGAGACAAATGTCCTGGGCAGAAGCATTCTGAATAATTTATGTAGAAACTCTGGCCTCTAGAAGATTGAGTAAACTCATCACCCTATAAGTGTTGATTTTCATAGTGTCTTCCATCCAAAGAGTACAATATGAAAAGAAAAAGCATAACTTGACAATGGGAAAACCTCACCAACATAACCTCAGCCAGAGATCAAGGTCAGCATCAACAGGGTGAAGTCATGCTGACAGTGCTTACCCTTGACAGGACGTGATGAAAAGGGCCCTCTATCTCTGTGGCTTTCCTCCCAAGAACCTATAACTCCAGTCTATTGATGAGAAAGACATTAGACAAACCACAGGTAAGAGACATTATACAAAATACCTAACCAGTCATCTCAAACTGTCAAGATCATCAAAAGAAACAAAATTCCGAGAAACTGTCACAGCCAAGACGAGCTAAAGGAGACATGACAACTAAATTCCATGCAACATCCACAGTGGAATCCTGGATCAGAAAAAGAACATAAGGTAAAATTAAGGAAATCTGAATAAAGTATGGATTTCAGTTAATAATAGTGTTGCAGTGTTGGTTCATTA